AGCCTATGACATCATTATGACTTCATACATTACATCATAATTTCCAGCAGAATAGTCTAGAACTTTCTGTGAAGCTATATGACATCATTATGACATCATACTCAGAAATAATATTTTCTGGAGTATCTGGTAGGTCATAGCATCCTAAATAAAAGAAAATAAAAGAACAATGCTAGAGAAAACAAGATAGAAACAATGATACAAATACAATATGCAAGACACGGGCTTTTTAGATAGGTTTTTGTTAGGCTTTGAGCTTTTCTCAATGGTTTTCTCTAGCCAAAGTGAATAAGCCAAAGGTAAGGCAATACCTTGACCTTCATTTTACTTCACATATGACTTTTTCTTCTTCTTCCATATAAAACTTGAAATATAGGACCAAGGTTTGATACCAAGGTATGGGGTGACTAGTCTGAGGACTGTGCTAACAGACATAATCTTTTGAGGGTTATTCCTAGTAGTAGTTATGTCCATGCATGATTCCCGTATCATGCAGGACATCGGTCGCCATGACAGACTCCCATTCATTAAGCACGCTTTGGGGACTCTGGCCGATCAACGACAGGTCCAGAGGTACAGGAGGTCTTTGGGTTCGAGGCTCGAAAGAAGGGTCCACATCCAACTCTATGTCAGGCAAATGATGATGGATAATGTCCTCGAAATACGCGAAGAACTGGGCTTGATAAAGGGGATCGTTCAAGCGACTGTGCAACTCTGTAGGATTGAGACCGCCCAACAGCCAGATGACAAAATGGCCATGTAAACTCCCTCGCTCTGTGAACTCACTAGTTCCGTAGAAAGCTTCCAGATGCCCCAAAATGCCGCCCGTGGGTGTGGATGTGGCAGTCTCAAAGTCCCATCCGAACAAATGTGCGAACAAAGCTTTCACGCAGAATTGAAAGAAATCAGCAGCAGCAACTGGATCCTGAGCGAGGCGAAGTGCACGCTCGCGCGCTGAGACCAAGACAGGATATCGTTGAGTGAGATCAACCGTTGTAGAAACAACAATACTGAGAGGAACAAATGAAGATTGCTCCAAACTGATATATTTGTGTTGTGGTCTTTGCACTGCCTAGTCTGCTATACTTGCCTGACAAGTGCGTTCGACCCAGGGGTCTGCGGTCTGGGAATAGCCTTGGGGATAAGTGAGTGATGTGAGATCAATAGTCCGAGCGCGGGAAACAATGTCCAAAGGTATAATTACGATGTCCGATGCAAAAGCGTCGGGTCCGATGTTTTCGGGGTTTCGGGTTATCGGGTTCAGGTTCGGGGTGTCGGAAACTAATAGTAACGCTATAGCGAGCGTCAGAAGAGCGAGCGGTGTGCGCAATAATAACAATGACTGATACGGATAATGAAAGAGCGATGATATTCGCAATATCAACTAAGAACTACGAAATATCGGGTTTGACCACTAAGCGTTGGGGAACTGTTCCCCTCTACTTGGATGATGAATAATGCTCGAGGTCAGTCCAATATATATGTAAGTACGTAGAAATGCGGAACCCGTAGGCGAAAGTAGCGGCAGAGTATTTCGGATCCGAAGTACATGTAAATAAACATGAGGCGCTGCGGACTATGGGAAAACATGTAATAGCGCTGGCTACGACGTGAGTAATGTGCGAAATAATGAACTACACACCTAGTGGGGCTAGCAAGACGGGACGGGACACGGATAGGACAAGTGCGCGGGAAAACATCGGGTCCGATGCGGCCTAAACGTCGGGTTGGCGGGTTAGCGTCGGATGACATCGGGAAGTGATTAGCATGTGACAGGTATTTGACGTGTACTGTGAAATAGCTCGATACGAGCCCAGCGCCAGCTCGTGTCCTACACCGTTTCATCACCGCACATCAGCTGGAAAATGGGGCTGTGGGCTGCATTAGGGTTACATGTGAAGTATAACTGAGGGACCCCAAAATACCCGAAGTAGCTACGAATTTCGTTCCAGATGTGAATTTTGGAGGACTGCGATCCAGGGATTCGAGCAGCGACTGTGTTCACCTTGTTGAGCAAATTCAGCGCTGCACAGTCAGCTGGAGCGAGTGAAGAATACGATTTTTCTTTTTTAGATGTTCAGCCACTCGAGTCAGCGTCGTCGCACTCACAGAAGCGAGGCTTTTGGCTAAGGTGTCGAAATGGGCGCGATGGACAGTGAAATGTGTATGGAGGTGGGCCATCCGGCGTTGCCATATGTTCAGCGTGACAAACATGTAGGTACGATGGTAGCGAAAAGATTTATCTGCAAGATCGAGCGTGTACTCAATTTGCCGGCGGAAACCCAGAGGGGTGCGTCGAGTCTTGTCATCAAAACCACCTATGCCGAACGGGAACAAAGTGGGGAACATCCCAGGGATGAGGTCGGGATTGTCGTATTCACACACTGCATCAGTACCTCTATACATCATGAGTGATGGTTTGTTGGGCGTAGCCGGCATCAGATTACACAGCGCGGATGCTGTGAATGCGCGTTGAAGGTGAGGAATCTTGACTGTGGGTGAAAACACTAAAGGTAAGGGGGCTCTACAGCAAGACCTGGATACGAGAATACAGCTCGACCCAAAGGACAGCTACTGAGAGAAGTTCCTCGCGAATAAGGTGGAGGGAAACTCTGTCAACTAGACGGGCGCTGGTAGGCGCGAGAAGGTAACGCGCACGAAGGCGCGCGTAAGCGATATGAAGGCGCGCGTGAGCGATGCGAGGGCGCGCGAGATGCGAGAGGTGCGCGCGTATGCGGGAGCGCACTTATGAGTGATAAGGGATATGGTTTCAAGTATAATAGAGGCGCGAGCTGTAGCAGATGGAGAAGTATAATCAGATTTCTAGTACTAAGGTGCACTATACAACTTGCAGTATACTGTGATAAATGGGGGGAAAAGTAGTACCCGAAGTAAAAGAACTTCCCTCTATTTAAGAAGGGAGATAGCGCTATGCGGCGCTTCCGAGCGCGGTACCGAACCGAGTAACCATATCAACTCTAAATATAATCTAAAGTCTAAGATAGACTTTCTGTATGTAAGCACGGGGATCGGACCGAGTGCACATCAATTCAATGAAAGAGATAAGAATAACGCACCAGCAAATCAGTGAGGACATAGGACGGATGGACGGACGGGTAGGCACGAGAAGACCTAAGGGGAGGCGCACGGACGCGCGCGGATGCGCGCGGAAGCGCGCGAGTGCGTATGAGGCGCGCGAACGAGGCGCGAACGTATGGCGCGCGCGCGGGAGCGCGTATGACTGATCCTTCGGATAAGAGCTGGAATATGTAAGGAATATGTGGTTCGTGGGGCCATATGTCCGGCATTGAGAGGCACGAGTCTCTACATCTCCTGGGGACTTACATTCTGAGTGTCCCCACTCAGTGATATAGCGCGGGATTTTGGATTTGGTGAGATGGTGATAGACGGGGTCATGTGATCGCGAGAGTAGGACCATTCCTTTGATGATCGCGAGCATCACTGATCTAATCGATAGAGGTCATTGATAAGAAGATGGACGCGTTCTCGCGATCTCTTGACTTCTCCCTTATCATTACCATCATGGCCCCCTTCACTGCCACTATGCTAAACGCCACCCCTTCTCCCTCTCCTGAGCCAGTGGCGCCAGACCATCCTGAGGACGCGCGCATGGAGGACGTCAATGCTGTGTCCGATACCAATCGCCTTCTTAGCGCTTGGGCTGCTATCCTAGCCTCCTTGGAAGCTTGTGCCATGGCGGCGCCTGATCTCAAGCCAGAACTGCTTGAGGATCAAGAGTTGTGGTTGCGCGAGTGGCGCTCTGTGTTGGTGAGTGCGCTTACATGTCTTGCCTTCTGTGATCTAACATTCCTAGGCAACCATGAACAACTGTTCCGAGCGCGCGGGTGTGTTGGGTGTGGAGTTGGATATGAGCGATAAGAGCGCGGAGTTCCTGAAGCAGGGGCGGAAGAGTTCTAAGGAGATTGAGACGGTCGTGAAGGGATGGAAGACGAAGGTGACTGAGGCTGTTCCAGAGGCGCCTCCCAAGCGTGCTGCGCGCGTTACTGGCGCGTCCGAAGTCGAGGCGCGCGCAACTGATGCGTCTGGTACTGATGCATCTAAACAGGTGCGGTTCTCTATATCTCATTGTTGCGCTACTCCACTGACACATTTGGTCGCATTAGCGCAAGGTTGGGCACATGTCTGTCGTGAAGGCGCCACGCTGCGCCACTTGCGTCAGCAGGGATCAGGACTGCGGAGGCGCGCCTGGCAAGCGGTGCCCTCCTTGCGATGTTTCAAAGCGCGCCTGCTCCTTCTGTAAGTTGCGCCTTGAGAGATTTTGTCGGCGCACTACTAACGCCTTTGATTAGCTAAGCGCAAGACTTCAGATGGACCTAAGGCGCGTCTGCGCAAGCCGATGCCTAAGCGCCCCATTGTTACTGAGTCTGCAAAGGAGACCGCTTCCTCTATTGCCGTCGACGAAGGAGAAGGATCTGAGGCGTCTGGTATGGATGTGGAGATTGTTGATGAGCGCGATGTGGGGGAAAAGGTCGTGCGCGCTTCGCGCGATATTCCTGTGCGCGCTGTCGGTCTGTTGGCATCTGGCTCTGCGCCTAAGGGAAAAGGCAAGTACCAGGGACCAGAGGAGGAGTTGAGAGAGGTGCAAGCTGAGACAGCGCGCCTGAGGGAGGAAAATGCGCTTATGCGCGCGTCCGCTTTGAAGACGCGCCAGTATGCGCGCGCCCAGCAGGTGGATCTCTTGGCGCTTTCCAACAAACTTTTCGCCATGTCCCAGGAGTGGTCTGACCTGGAGGAGCGCGCCAATGCTTCTCTGAACTAGATACAACCTGTTTTTCTCCTAAGCGCCAATGCGCCTTTGCAATAGATCCTGATTTTGTTGTCCCATGTCCATGTCCATGTCCTCGTCTGATTCACTGGGCTATGAAATTAAGATTATAAGTATGTAAGTAAGGATCGAGCGCGAGACGAGATAAAGGTACTGCGATGGACTTTACTAGGTTTTCTGCGGGGTGCGCGCCCGTCTTGTCTTCTTCGCGCGCCTTCCTTCATCTATCCCTGCCTTGTTGCGCCGCGCGCAGCGCTCGAATGAAAATTAAAAGAAAAAAAAGTGCGCGGCGCCGCGCGCGCGTTAGAAGTGAAAGTCTATGGGGGTGATTATGCGCGCGCTATACAAATATGGTAGTTAGTAGTATGTACTTGCGGAATATTAGCGTTTTGGTGGTGTTTGATATATTCTAGAGTCTGTGGGTTTATGTGCAGGCAATGCACGTTATATCTTAAGAAGAAAGGGAGAAAGGTTTCGGAAACGTTCGCGCGCTCGCGTGGTTTTCGTGTAGGGCCATGTGGTTTTCGTTTAGATACGCTTAGATACGCTTAGATGCGCGTAAGGCCACATGGTTTTCGCTTACCTCGCTTGAACTTCTATTTGGAAACTCGCGTGGTTTTCTCGCTAAAACTAAGACTAAGACTAAGTAAGAGTGAAACAAAAAAAATCCAATTTGAGAGAAATTTCTGCCAAGTCCGAAAATACTGCCAAACGCGATATAGTGGACAGTAATCCTCACGCCTACTGCGCCGTGGGAATGCAACGGACAAACAACAGACTTTTCCTACTATATGGGAAAGGCATCGAGAATAACAAAAGCAATAATAGAAATTTGATTACACTTTTGGTTACACAAATCATTACACAACTTGGCTGCTGCTTTTGAATAGAAATTCTCGAGTTAAATTGCCTTTCCCTGCAGCCAAGTGTAATTAAAGTGTGATACACTTTTGGTGGGTGTTATTTCTTATCAATGATGATAGAAATGACTTATTGATTGATGAGTTCAGGCAAATTTTGCACTTGCTAAACAACCATTTGAATTTAACAACCATGGATGGATATATACCAATTCTGTGAGTTGCTGATATATTGCTATGCATAAAGTGCATGATGCTAATGTCTGCATGTACCATTTAGAAATCAAGATCAAATCACCCCTGAACGCGACCGTCACTCGCAACGTGAACGCGATAGACTCAATCGACTTCAGATGACATCTCCTACAAGGCGCAATCGTTGCCATGCTGCCCATGATGATCAGAATAGGCCTCCGCCTCCTGTACCCCAGCCTAATTTTGTGCCGGCTAATGAACCCCCAGGGCCTGTTCCACAACCTCCTCTCTACTTTCGATATCCACCGCTACCAGTTGAGCAGTATCCTGGCTTGCCACGAAATGCGATTGCACATGTGCAGCGTGCTCATCATCATCCTCCAGTGGATTATAATGCACGCTTAAATGAGCAAATGAATGCAGCTCATAATGATAGATGCCGTCGACATAATATTTGTCAGCAACAGGACAGAGATGAGATAAGACAGCAGGCACAGGCAGAACTTATGCAGCCTCCACAGGTGCTTCCAATTCATAACCAGCACATTCAACCTGCTCCTCCTGCTCCTCCTGTGTATGGCCCTATTCATTATGAGGGTGCTCACAACTTTGACAATCCCCTGCACTACTTTGCGCCTAATCATGCACCACCTATGCCCTGCTACCAGAACCAGATTATCAGCAGTTTAATCTTCAATTTCAAAATCATATCAATGCAGAGCAAAGGGAACACGAGCGCATTAGAAATGACTTGCTTCAAAGGCAAGCACAGGAGGAATTCCGTCGAAATCAAGTGCAGCTACAATTGCAGCAGCAAGAGGCTGAGAGGGTCCGTAGACAGGCTCAATTGCAGCAGGAGGAGGCTCTTTACCTCCAGCAGCAAGAAGCTGAAAGGATCCAAAGACAGGCTCAATTGCAGCAGCAAGAAGCTGAGAGGATCCAGAGACAGGCTCAATTGCAGCAGCATGAGGTTCTTCGCTTGCAGCAACAAGAAGCTGAGAGAATTCAAAGACAGGCTCAATTGCAGCAGCATGAGGTTCTTCGCTTGCAGCAACAAGAAGCTGAGAGAATTCAAAGACAGGCTCAATTGCAGCAGCAGGAGGCTCTTCACCTACAGCAGCAGCAAGCTCTTCACCTGCAGCAACGGCAAGCTGAGCAGCTTAATAGAGAAGTTCAATATGCTTTTGAAATGCAGCAGCAGGAAGAGGAGCTACAGAACAGACAGGATCAAGATCGTCAGCGAGTACATCAGGAGGAAGAGGAGGCTCAACGCCGGCGGGAACAAAGGATTCGTGAACAGGATGAGCATCTTGAAGAGGCTTTCCGTGAATACAATGATCCAGCATCTCAGGAGCAGCATGCTGACGATGAAGAAAGAATAAGAACCCAGCAGCAGGAACGCCGCCAGCAGCGTGAGGCAGAGGATAACCAGCATGTCAATCAGGTGGTTCATATTCCTGATGGAGCTCTACCTTACACGGAACCAATTGACCGTGACACTCTTGGTCCTCTTAATGTAGAGTGTTGTAACTGTTATGCCAAGCACTTTGCATCTGAAAGACTCTCCAACTCCTCTCTACGAAATCCACACTTCGGTATGTGCTGCTTGCAGGGCCAAGTCAGCCTTCGGCCCTTTCCAGAATGGCCACCTGAGCTGTTGGAGGCATATGCAGACCGAACATTTGTCTCCAAGATCAGACAGTACAACAGTGCTCTTGCATTTACATCTGTTGGTGTTGACATCGAGGACAGAGCTCTTCAAGGGTCTGGCCCAAATGCCTTTCGTATTCATGGTGCTCTTCACCATCTCATGGGCAGTCTCATACCCCCAGAAGGTCTTCAGCCTTCATACGCTCAACTTTATATATACGACACTGAAGAAGCCACCGATATTCGCACCAACCGTCCTGGAAATGAAGGTCTCAATCGCAACCGTCTCAGAGTCCTTCATGATATGCTGTTCCGACATCACCCTTATGCCCTCATTTACAAGCAAGCCTATCAAGTCATGCAAGAAAAGCCTCCAGAGCAGCACACAGAAGTTCAAGTACGGATTCACTTCCAGCAGGGCACGGATGGTCGAAGATACAACCTACCCACCGCCAATGAAATCGCTGCAATTCTTCCTGGAGATGGATCCGAGGGAGCGTGCAGCTGCTAAAGAGACTCACCTCACTGGATGGTTCAAAGCCAATGCCAATGAGAACTTGGTGGCAGCCGGAGCCCATGACTACCTCTATCAGGATTTCCCCTCAAAATTTGTGTGGAAGAAGACAGCATGGAAGATACGCGAACGTGGAATGGCGATTGGAAGGATGTACTCTGCTGCCCCTGGCTCTGGAGAGCGCTTCTACCTGAGATTGCTTTTGACTGTAGTAAAAGGCGAGACATCTATGACAATTTTTATCAATAAAACTCACCATATTTATTTTTCAAGGAGCCACCTCTTATGAGCATCTTCGGACATTTCAAGGGGTTGTCTGCGAGACTTTCAAGGAAGCATGTCTGCGCAGGGGTCTGCTTGAAGACGATAATGAATGGATCCAGTGTTTGCAGGATGCCTCCCATATGAGCACTGGACATGGCATGCGAAATCTCTTTTCCATCATCCTCATACACTGCAATCCTACACGCCCTGACGATCTTTGGAACCGCTTCAAGTATAATCTATGTGATGATCTGCGCTACCATCTTTCTCAACCACCATTCAACATACCAGACCCTGCAGAGGAAGAGGTCCATGACTATGGTCTCTATCTCATCGATGGCATCCTTCGCAAAAATGGAAAGTCTTTGCAAGCAATCCCTCAAATGCCTGTGTCTCAAATGGCAGCAAGATGGGGTAATGGAGGGCAACCAGCTGATTTATGAGCAGCTTCAGTATGACCGGGAGCAGCTTCAGCAGATGGTAGAACCAGGAGTTAATTCTCTCAATGCTGAGCAGAGGGCGGTCTTTGATGCGGTAGTCGATGATGCAATGCAACGTAATGATCAAAGACCTGGACACGCATACTTTGTCCACAGTGCAGGCAGATGTGGAAAGACATATCTCTGCAAGCTCATTGCTTCAAAAATCTGTGCTGAAGGCAAGATCGTCCTATGTGTGGCTTCCTCTGGAATCGCCTCTCTCCTCCTTCCAGGTGGACGCATGGCTCATTCACGTTTCAAAATTCCTATTCCCATTAACGAGGACAGCTCCTGCAACATCAAGAAAGGAGATGTTGTCCATGAGCTTCTCAAGGCCACCTCCCTCATCATCTGCGATAAAATCCCCATGCTCCATCGTCATATTTTGGAATGCCTCGACCGCACATTGCGTGACCTTCTGGACGTAGATGCTGATTTTGGAGGAATAACAATGCTCTTTGGAGGAGACTTCAGACAGACCCTGCCGGTGGCGCCTCATGGATCCAGGGAGCAGATAGTGGGCGCTACATTTTGCAGATCTCGCATATGGCCAAAGCTTCGCATCTTCCACCTCAAGACAAATGCGACTTGGTCAAGATCCCACCTCTGATGAATTCGCAAAGTGGCTCCTTGAGATTGGAGCTGGCAAGGGCACAGATAGAGATGGAACCGTGACCCTCCCAATTCAAATGCGATGCGCCAACAACGATGTCCGGTCTCTCATCAATGCCCTATACTCTCCAGTGCTGCTCCCTGGGCATCCTCCCCCAGATGATACCTTCTTCCTGGAACGTACCATCCTCTCTGCAAAGAATACAGATGTGGATGAAATCAATATGACTATTCTTGAATCATTCCCCGGAGATAAAGCAGTCTTCACCAGCGCAGACTCAGTTGCTGAGAGGGACTACGACTATATTCCCACAGAGTTCCTTCACACTCTCACCCCATCAGGCTTCCCTTTGCACAAATTGGAGGTTAAAGCAGGTGTCCCTCTCATGCTCTTGCGCAACCTCAACCCCACCAAAGGCCTTTATAATGGAACTCACATGATCCTCCTGTCTTGGACCACTCACGTCCTCAGGTGTCGCATTCTTAGAGATGGAGTTGATGCAGCCCACCAAGAGAATCAGAATACAGTCCTCATCCCTCGCATGACCCTGGATGCCACTTCTGAAGACAACCCTATTCCCCTCAAGTGTCGCCAATTCCCTGTTCGTCTCGCATTTGCCATGACAATCAACAAGGCACAAGGTCAAAGTGTCAAGTGGGTTGGCCTTAATTTGCGGACTCCTGTCTTCAGTCATGGACAGCTCTATGTGGCTTTGTCTCGCTGCACTCACCCAGACAGAGTGTATGCAATATTTCCGGAGCATGAAGAAGGCTCAACACAACCAATGTAGTATATACAGAAGTGCTTAGAGGACTCACAGATTGTATCAATGAATGATGTACTTATATATATAAACTGACTGATCTTATGTACTATGTACTTTTAGTTTTTTTGAAATGCTGCTCATAAATGTACCTCTTTTTCAAAATCCACTATCGAGGCGTGATCTTATTCAAAATGCACAATTTATTAGATGCAGCCTGAGGCCAGGAAGCCAAAGGAGGGCGCAGCCCTCCTTGGCTTCCTGTGATGAAGGAACAATGCTCATCAGGAGCCTTCAGAATTATTAGGATGAAGCTGAGGCCAGGAAGCTAAAAAAAGAGTGTGAAGCACTCTTTTTTGCTTCCTGTGCCGAAGGCAGAACGGGTGTGGACTAGTGAACAATTGAGAGAGGAATGATATCACCGGACGAAACCCGGGGTAAAACTGAGAGTATGTACTTCATGGAATTTTTGTTTTTTTTTTTTTTCGTATTATCTTGTGTTTTTGTTTTATGTTTTTGAGGAGTGTGGATGTGCGAATTGATTGGGTGATGTGGGGTGAGAATTGGTTGCGCGCGCTAATCGTCTTGCGCGCGCTCTCGTCTTCTTCAGGTTCTACGGTTTCGTACGCTTCTAGTTCGTCGATGCTCTCGTCGTCCACTCCAGTCATTTGGGTTACCGATACGCGCTCCCCGCTACGTGGGTAGTAAGGAATGACGCGGAACGGCGAACCGAGTTTTGAGATGCGCCATCCAACTCGGCCAGCATATGAGCCTCCCTTCGTGCGGCGCACTACGATCATAGGTCCCAAATAGCGCGGCTTCGTCTTCTTGCTCAATTCGTATTCGACCCTCGAGTTGCGTACCAACACTAAGGCGCCGGGTTCGAAATCGTGCGATTTGATAGTCGCGCGGAAGCGCTTCTCAAAATCGCGTATCGACTTGAAGCGCGCCGCGACTACTCTGTCTCTGATCGCGTTAATATCTTCTATGCGCTTCTGTAATTGACGCGCGCCATGCTATAAGGTCAGTAGTGGTGAACGCGCCTCGGCTTGGTAAGGGCGCGAGGAACATCGCTTCAGCGAGATCAAGAGAAATATTGGCTCGACGCCATGCATCATGAAATAGGGCGATAAACCCGTCGCTTTATGAATGGTGACGCGCTCTGCCCAGAACACTGAATGAACTACCTGATACCAGCGCGAATCATCTCCGTCGCAGCTTTTAATGATGGCCTCCCGGACATCGCGGTGTCGTCTTTCGACTATACCGTTTGCCTGAGAATTGTACGGCGAGATGCGGATCGGGTGGATCCCATATTTGCGCGCGAGTTCGTCTACTGCGAGCCTATATGCGGGCGCGTTGTCCGTCACTATTTCTGTGATCGGACCCCATCTACAGAAGAGCTCTTCGAAAATAAAAGCGGTTAGCGCGTGAGTATTCTCTTTGCGCAGCATGCGCCATTCAGGATACGATGTTAGCGCGCATCGCGCTTGCACGAGATATTCATATCCGCCCGCTCTGGGCATCTTCATCGTGTTGATGTGCGCTTTGCGAAATAAACCACCTGGCATGGGTACAATTGGAGGGATGTGCAGCCTTCGCGTTTGGCGCACTTGACATTCGTGGCATGTTTGCGCATACCATTTGATGTCGTCAATGATGTGCGGCCACCAGAAGCGCAGCCGTAGGCGCGCGCTGATGGTATAGATACCCTTGTGCCCTAAATCGTCATGCGCCTCTTTCAAAATGCGGTAGCGCTTATTAGGAGGCAGCACGAGCTGATGTTTGCCATGCGATGCTCTGCGCCATAGGTTGCTTTCCAGGACGAAGTAGTGCGCTGCGTTGTTGACGAACTTTTCGAATTCTTGATCT